GGGTCAAATTCCCAGTTTGGCCCACAGCTTCGTTGTGGGGAAATTTCGCAAATAATAGCTCGAGCAAGAGATGGGCTGGATGCGCGGCATCGACTTCCAGGTGGTAGCCCTGCAAGCGACGGGCGCCTCCGCGCTGGGCGGGGATGCAATCCACAGTGCGATCGGCATGGGCGTGAACAACACGAAGGGCAGAGCGCGAAATATAATGGCGACGCAGAGTCGAACAATAACACAAAATAACAGGTTGCTCAGTGAGCGTCGCAGTGGAGATGACTGATCATCGTCGAGATCAGCATGGTGAGCGCGAGCGTCCTGGCTGGGCTGGATTCGGACGCGCGGTCGTGATATCAGCGGCGAGTGTGACGAAGGTCGGGGCGAACGGCGTGAGCAGGCCATTCGGGGGCGCCCGCGCGTTGTTTTGCGGGGGCTTCTTTCAGCTGGAGCCGCTGCCCATCCAGAACGGCCATCAATGCGTTGTCGTTGTACCTTGAGCATGCAAGGAAGTGGGGCCGCGCAGGGTCACGGGCAGCGCGTATTTTGGCGGGCCGGAGGCGACGTGGCAGTGCAGGGGATGACGGAGTAGACCACAGTGCAAGCGCGTGGGAGACCAGCGCGAGTGGTTCTTTGCCGTGTCAGACGAGTTCCGACGAGGGGCGCTGCCTGGACGCACGCGCAATTTCTGGCATGGGGGGCGCGCGAGGCACGGGCGAAGGGCGCGCCGCTGCGCGGGGGCGACCGTCGTCGACAAAACGCAGAGGCGATTTCCGAAAAAAGAACGGGCTGGAGTGCAAAGTGCGCAAAGGGGGCGGGAGAAGAAGAACCCCGCGGCGACGTCGCTGGGCGACGCGCGATTTCGAGAGCAAAAATGGGTCAACGCTGTTGCAATTCTTGACGCTCCGCGCCGCCCCGACAGCCCAACAGAAACAGATCGCCAGGCGAGTTGCCTTGATCAGGGAACTGTAGACGCGTGCAGTATAACGACCGCCTTGGAAGTGCTTTCTCGGAGGTATCTTGGAGCCGCGTTGGGTCTTGCCCGGCGTCCTCTCGGAGCCGCTCGGGGCATTCTTGGGGCTTTCTGGGAGACCCAGGGGCGCGCTTGCTTTTTGTTTTCTTCTGGTTGGGCCTGAGAGGCTTCTCAAGGGAGTTTTGGGCGCGCTGTTCAAAAAGAGAGGAGGTTTAATGCATCCAGGAGCCCCCCATCGATGGCTAAAAAAATGCATCCCGGGGCGCTCTTGGGGCTCTTTTCTTGGGGCTCCCACTGGGCCGTCTGGGGGCCGTCGCAAGGACTCGAGGGTCCATCGGGGGCGAAACCGTAAGAAGGCAAAACACACTGATGCCCCTTCGGTTTGGGAGCCATGTTGGCCTCTTGGGGGGGGGGTCCATGGAGGGCTCGCAGTGCACTTGAAAGCGTCTCGGGGCCGTTTCGTGGCCTCTGGGATTTTTGTTCGGAGGCTATCTTAGGCCATCTTGAGGTGTCTGGAGCCATTTTGGGGGCCATCGTGGGTTTTCTGAAACCCTCTTGCAACCATATTGGGCCACATTGGACGTTCTAACCCCTCTGCCCCCCCGCGCCCAAGGCCCAGAGGGGGGAGGCAGAGGGGGGGGGGTAAACCCTTCCCCCGAGCACTGGGAGGAGGGAGTTTTGGCAGAATGAAGACAACGTCCGCTAAACCACCTACGCCCAGAGGGCTGGTGGCATTCATGCCAATCAGGGCATTCGGTGCCGCGTCGGGGAGCAGAGGGCCGTGCGGCGGGCGAAGGAGCGAGGCGAGCAGCTCCTATGGGTCGCGGCAAAAGATCACCCGTGCCGCGGGGCAGAGCACAGGCGGTCGCACACGGCGGAAGACAAAATGCGACGGTTAGGATACCGCGACACGGACTGCGCAAGTTTGCCGGCGCGGCTGCCGCTGGCGAAGAGCGTGCCCATCGCGCTTAGAGACCACTTGGAGCGATCGAAGAAACAACTTCTGCGGGGGCGCGCAGCAACCAGATGGGCCTTGCACGAGGATGATATCGTGGGAAGTGAAGGCGAGGAGGTGTGGTTGCTTTTGCCGAGAGCACTTGCGGTAGGTTTTTATTCGAAAGAATGACAACTTCCAGGCTGGGAGCCGGGGATGCATGTAATCTTTCCATCGAGGGCGCCGGTGATACGGTAGAGGGAAACAATTAGTGAACACCCCCCCTGCCCCCCAAACTCAAAGTTGACACGCGGGGGTGAGACTGCGGTCGAGGTGCAACTCATCAGACCCACCGCCAACTTTGAACATTGGGGGAAGGGGGAGGCGTTCACAGATGAATGTGGCATGAGTGCTCGCTATTTTTTCCGAGGCCTGTATTTGGCTGGGTACCGGACGCATCCAGCGTTGAATGTCCAGCGCGCCCAGTTCATGATCGCGCCGTCGTTGGCAGTGGCAACGCGCGCCGCGCAGGGGCGGACCATGCCGCATCTGGCCAGTGCCCCGTGATGGGTTGGCCGTCTCGCCTTGTCTTTGCCCCTCCTCTTTCTGTTGGGCGCGCGCGCAGTTTTCCGCGCGGCGCGTCTTACGGCGCGGCGTCGAGTCGCCAGCCCGCGATGACGGAAAAGTGTGTGCATGTGTGTGTGCGTGTGTGTGTATATATATATATATATATATATATATATGTGTGTGTGTGTGTGCGTGTGTGTGTATGTGCGTGTGCGTGCGCGTGTGTGTGAGCGCGTTCGTATGCGTGCGCGCACGGGCTCGGCCCTTTTCTGTGATTCGGGGGGCCACTGAGAGGCCTGCAATGACCAGTTTGGATGCCTCCGGGGAGTGAGCTCGGGGCTTCGCCATGAGGAAACATGATCGACCCACGAACCCCGGAAAAAATATAGACATGTAGCGCATGGCAACGTTTTCAAAAACACCTGATTGGGTAACGGGCAAATGCGATGCTGAGTGTATCGATGTTGATGTACCCTGCCGGGGGCTGCGCTGTGCTGCGCCGTGCTGAATTGCGATGTGCCATGCTGCGATTGTGCTCTATAGCGTCGTGGATCGAGTTCTCCTTTGCATCCGAGTCCTGACCGAACTGATATGGATCGTAAGCTCGAGCTGCCTGAACACATAGTAGCTGCCCCAGCGCCAATTGACAGGGGGACCTGCCAGGAGGACGCGCCGCGAAACGTCCCAAGGGACGCGCTAGGCGACGTGCTCGGGGACGTGCCATGGGGTCGCACCGCGGGACGTGCCAGGGGAACGCGCTACGGAACGTGCCAATGGATGTGCCACGGGACGTGCCAGTGGACGCGCCGCGCGACGTGCCAGGGGGACTCGCCAAGGGACGCCCCTCGGAACGTGCCAAGGAACGTGCCAGGTTGCAATGCTGAGTGTATCGATCTTGCTGTATCGTGCAAGGGGACGCGCTACGGAACGTGCTGGGGACAAGCGTTTCGCTCGAGATATCTTGCCAAAGTCCTCATGCTAGACATCCGCCTGAGCGACCTGGACACGTGAAAACAAGCGTTTCGCTCAACGCATCCTCAACACATTCTCATGCTAGACATCCGCCTGGGCGAACTGGACGCGTGAAAACAAGTGGTTCGCTCGAGACATCCTCAACACATCTTCATGTGAGACGTCCGCCTGGGTGACCTGGGCACGTGAAAACAAGCGTTTCGCTCGAGACGTTTTCAACACCTCCTCATTCTAGACATCCGCCTGGGCGACCTGTACACGTGAAAGCAAACGTCTCGCTCGAGACATCCTCAACACATCTTCATGTTAAACATCCGCTTGGGCGGCCTGGACAAGTGAAAACAAGCGTATCTCTCGAGGCATTCTCAACACATCCTCATGCTAGGCATCCGCCTGGGCAACCTGGACACGTGCAAACAAGCACCTCGATCGAGACTTCCTCAACACGTCCTCATGCTAGACACCCGCCTGGGCGACGAGGACGCGTGAAAGCAAACGTCTCGCTCGAGACATTGTTTATAAACCTTGGCGCTAGACCTCTGCCTGGGCAACCTGGAGGCGTGAAACCAAGCGTCTCGCTCGAGACATCCTCAAGACCTGGGCACGTGAAAACAAGCATTTCACTTGAGAGGTCCTCTGAATTCTGGTCCCCAGGAGAGGACAATACATAACACAAAACAAGCGTTTCGCTCGAGACATCCTCAACACATTCTGAAAAACAAGCGTTTCGCTAGGGACATCCTCAAATTTTAATTCGCCGGCCCACCTCGACTTCAATATTTATCGCAAAAGAAATTCGCCGGCCTATCTCACGTCAAACCCGGAGGTAAACCAACTAAAAGAGAACCCTGGGCTTATGCCCTATCCGGGAAAAAAGGTCTTATAGGACAAGTGGCCTGGAGGTTTGTCGCCATTGTTTTGGGGAGGGGTTTTTCTATGTCATCTTCGGGGGCGCGAAAACAATCGCGCTCCAAGGGCCGCGGGTCGAGGTCTCGGCTAGAAAGGTCGCACTGGCACGTTTCCTCGAGGCGTCGCGAGGCCGTGAGGGCCCGACGATAATCGCACGTCGCGGGGCGCGATGCGGAAAGTTAGGTGACCCAGGCTCATGGGGTGCCCTCGTCGCGGAGTCGCTTCGAAATCCTGGCCAAAGCGCGCCCTGGATGGTCTGGCGGGCGATGTTTGAGGGCGGGAAGAGAAGCCAGAAGGATTGTCGAGGAAAGGGGTCCATAAATGTTCTGCCATCGTCGGGTTCCCAGGGCCCTTCCCAGGCTCTTACAGACAGCCAAGCACGTTTCAGGATGCGACACTTGTCGTCCCGCGGGGGCACGTTTTCTTCAGTCCCCCGTTCCTGTATGGCGCTTTCCAGAGGAACTTCGCCTTGAGCATTGCACCGAATGAGCTGGCATGTCTTCCTCGGCGGCAGGGCAGCGGAAGTTGGCGGAAGTGAGCCGAGGGCGCTTCCGCCGGCGGAAGGCCCGCGGAAGCCGGCGGTAATTAGTAAATGCACCCCCCAAGAGATGTTTCTTGGGAGTTCTGAGTCTCCGGGACCCGACTTATGGCAAGGAGATGCCGTCGCGTTCGCCGTCGGGCCCACGCGCCGACACGCCCTCGGAGCAGCAGTCGATGGTGGAGGTGGTGCCGCAGCGGTCGGGCCCCCGCATCGACTCGCCCAGTGACGAGGGTGGCCTCTGGGCTCAGATGGCCTCCCCCAGGAGCCGGGGGGGAGAGGAGCGGTGCAAGTCGATCTGTGTTCTGCCGTGTGGAGGGAAGGGAGGCCCCCATTTCTCGTCGCCGAAGGTTTCCTTAGCCGTTTTCGGCCTTGAGGGGACCTCGCCGGGCCCCGGGCCATCACGAAGCGGCCCGAGATGAAGAGTTGGTGTCAGGAAAGGGTTGGGAACGGGGCCCGCATTGAAATCGGGACGTCGGATTTCTGAGGCAGGCAAGGGAGAGATGGGGGCGCCTGCCCACGGCCGGCTGGTGATCTCTTGCAGCATCACGGAGGGCCACCAGGACGTGACCGTCCCCAGTGGCTCTGGGGCACGCAGACCCTCCCAGGGTCCATTCCGATCGATCCGATTCGATGCCTTTTTCGGGCGGGTCGATCCGATTCGATTCCAGCATTCCGACGATCCAATGCGGCCCGATGTTCATGTGGCGTTGTCGTGCATCCCGGCGCGACCGATCCGATTCGATTTCGGCTCCGTGCCGCTGCGGCCCGATCTGGCGCATTCCCGATTCGGTCCGACATCGATTCGATGCTGACTGATCCTGCCCCCACGGCAGAACACGTCTCGCCCGACACCGTTTCTTGGCCCTCCCTCAGGGATGCCCCCCGGGTCCTCCGGCAGTCGGGGAAAGATAAGCAGAACATTTCGGAGGTCCGCGCGGATTTCTCGGATCGGCGCTGGACCCCCTCCGGAGCGCGCCAGGGGCGGCGCTGGCAGCGCTGGCCCGAGAACTCCGCGCGGACCTCCGACAGTTTCTGTCAGTGGTCGTTCGCCTATAGGCAGAAGTCCGCTCCCCTCGTGGGCAAGGCCAAGAGCTTGGGGCTCATGTCGCCCTGGCCTCAGAGGTGCCCTGGCCCTGGCGCGCCGCTGGCCGACGGGGGGGCGGGGCGGCCGAGGTCGCCCCCCCTCTGCCCGCATGGCATGACGCGCTGGTGCGCGCCGGGATGGGTTCGCCCAGGCCCCATGGGCCTCGCGTTCTGTGGAGGGCGTCCAAGAGTGGGGCAAGGGCTGCGTGGGTGACCAGGGGACGCGTGGCCGGGGCCATGGAGCCTCCCAGATGTCGTGCCCACTCCCTTCTGCTCTCAGCACGCCCCCTGGCCCCCGCTCGTCCGCGCACACGCCTCGGGCCATGATGCGCCCCCACTCGTCGGCGCACCCGTTCGTTGTGTACTCTCCACGACGTGGACCTCTGGCGGCCTCGAGGCCCCCTCACCCTGGGCGGTCCTCCGGCTGCCCTGGGACCCGGCAGGCCTCCCCAGCGAGGCCGAGAATGGCACAACTGCCTCCTGCCGTGATGCTGTCCCTTCTCTGACGTTGCGCTTTCATCGCGACGTCGTCCCGCGGAGATCCCGACCACTTCCCCAGGGCCAGATTCTCAACGCGTGTCGTCTTGTTGACGGCCTTCGGGACGGGAAACGGTTTGCAGAGGCCGAGAAAAAATGAAATACGGGACGTCATTCACGTCGCCTCGATCTGAGGGTTCTCACTACGCTGGGTGAGCGAGGCAGAAGAACGGGCTCGACTGCGCCGACATTCGCGCGTAAGCTGCCCGCGTGCCGCGCAGGCGGTTCGCGCAAGCCCCCGCGCAAGATCGCTGTGTCGTCGTGCGTGAGAAACCCTGGAATCGCTTGAACTTGTGCATTTTTTTCTCGGAGAGGACCCTGGAGGAGCATCCTGGATCATCGAGCAAACAAAAAACAAGCACGAGACCGAAAAATGAGCAGGGAACGGGCGCCCGAGCGATGGCAAGAAACCCCTTTACTTCGTCGCTCGGGCGGCTTGGGGGCGGGCTCGGAGCAGGATCGGACCGTGACACTGCGGGACCGGCCCGGGACCAGGGGCCGCACGCGCGTCGACCGAGGTCCTGCTCCGGCTCCTCGGGCTCGACCCTCGCCATGGCGACGTCGGTTGGGGGGCTGAAGTGCCAGCTGGCCGACCAGCTCCTCCGGTACCACCGGCTGCTCCCAGAGGAGGACGCCCCGACTTCGCCGCACCGCTTGCTCTTCGGCAGGCTGCCCGCCCCCCTGCTCCTCCATTCCGTTTCCTTGCAGATAATTCCTCCCTGTCGCACCCCGAGGCCATTTGAAAGGGCGGTCCGGGCGTTTGAGGGAGGGTCTATTTCAACATCATTGATCCGTCTCGGGTTTACGTTGGTCTCCTTCCCCTTCTCCTCTCCCCTCTCGCTTCTCCTCGTTCCCCTCGCCCCTCCCCGCCCCCATCCTCTCCCCCTCGTCTGCCCTGCTCGTCGGGCCTTTTGGGATCTGTCGGGCAGCGCACCCAAGTCTTCCCCGCACGCCCGGAGGAGGGCTCCCCCATTCCCCATCATCCGGAGGGTGCCAACCACGCACCTACACCGACCGTGGCCAGGCCCATCCTGTGCCTAGGTTCGAGGGGGGTGCTCTTCGTGGCCAGGGCAGGAGGGCGCACACACACACACACACACACACACACACACACACACACACACACACACACACACACACACACACACACACACACACACACACACACACACACACACACACACACACACACACACACACACACACACACACACACACACACACACACACACACACACACACACACACACACACACACACACACACACACACACACACACACACACACACACACACACACACACACACACACACACACACACACACACACACACACTGGTCCTGGGCCCAGGATGGGCCTGGCCAGGATCGGCGCAGGGGCATGGTTGGCGCCCTTCCCCTCGCGCCCGCTCGCCAGGCAGCACACCAACACGTCCATCAGCTCGCAGCGCGGCGACCCCTTCAGCGGCGTCATGGCGGACGGCGACGGCAACGGAATGCTAGCGTCGGGCCAGGGGGACAACCCTTGCAGCAGCCAGAGCCAGAGCTTGAGGACGCTGGTCACCACCGTGGGCTCTCGGTTGTCGGACCTCAACCCCCTCTCCGAGGCAGTCGGGGGCAACGCTATAGGGGGATAGGCTCAGGAGGGGATGCATCGACCCCAAATCGCCCATTCATCGCCGATGAGGGGCAGCCCACCCCGCCGAGGAACGCGCGGATTCGCAATTGGGGGCCCATCGCCGATCTATCGGCGACGCATCGCTGACTCCAGCTCGATATTTCCCCCCCTGAGCTGCCCCCCCCCCTACGTTGCCCCTCAGCAGGCGAACCAGAATCAGGCGGGGGGCGCTTCAGAAGGGGCCTGTAGGGTCCATCTCGACGAGATCGATCCGTTGCGACAGTGGTTCCGGCATGTCCGATCCGATTCTGTTCCGACATTCCGACGATCTGATGCGGCTCGATGTTCGCTTGGGCGCTGTTATGCATTCCCGCGCGAACGATCCGGCTTGATTTCGACTTCGAGTTGATGCAGGCCGACCAGACGAACACTTTCTGTTTCGGCTCGATTTCTCGATTCGATGTTGGCTGACCCTGGCCCCACCGTCTGCGGCAGAATGCCAGCGGGAATGCCGGTGGACGGTCGGCGGAAGCAGGCCGAGGCAGGAGTGGGGTGCGCCAGCCGTTGAACAGGATCCGGTTTTCCCGCAAGCCGGCCAGCAGGTGGAGGAGCTGCGCCACAGGCGCGTCTCGGAGCTGACAAGCCAGTTCGGCAGCGCCGGCTCCGACCCCTCGGTTGCGGCCAGGGTTCCCGCCCTCGAGCTCCTGTGGGTGTTCGGGGTTCTGCCGCCGCCAGGCCGGCACTCGGTGCGCCTCCGTCGGCGGTCGGCGGCCTCGCTCTACCAGGCGCTCGTCTGCGTGCTGGCGACGCTCGCGTGCTTCGAGATGGTGGCCGCGTCGCTCAGGATGGATGCCAGCAGGGGCCTGCGGCAATCAGGGAGCAACGCCAGGGGGGACGCTCAGGGGGGCACGCATCGATCCTCAACCGCCCATGCATCGCCGATGGGGGGCCCAAAGGCCCACGCCGCCGAGGAACGTCGGTGGTGTCTCGCCGGTTCCAGGTCGATGGTTCCTCCCCTGAGCCAGCCCTGACCTGTCGTTGCTCCTCAGGCAATTCGAGCATGGAGTGCAGACGGGGCTCCTCTCAGACATGGCGCTGGCAGCGGGGAGCTTGATCGGTCTCTTGATGGTGGGGGCGCCGTTCGGAAGCAAGTCGCTGCGGGAGTGCATCCAACTTCTCCTATCAATATCAGCGGCCGACGGGACGCAGTTGAAGCTCGGGAAACGAATGCGCCGTGAGCTGGTGGGGCTCGTGCTGATCTGGGTTGCGGCTACGGCATGGAGGATACTCGAGTCTGCGCGATCCTCCCATGAAATCTTCTCTTGGAAGGTGCTGGGCGTTTTGTCGTTTGCCCTTGTCAGCGGAGTTTTGCTTAGCCTCGCGCTGACCATGATTTGTGTTTGCCACGCGCTCGCTATCATGATAGACAATTTTTGCGTTCATGTCAGTGAGAGCCAATCCTGTCGTAGACAGATCATGATTGCTGCGCAGGAGTGGAACGTACTGCAGGCCGTGCTTCGCAAAGCGTCGAGATCGATCGAGTACTGCTTTTTCACCCTGCAGACGGCGTCATGGTTCGCAGTGCTATTTGGCTATATCGATGTCACGTACGGCTCGGATTCGCTTGTGGTGCCTGGCGGGCTGGTGCTGCTTGGCCTCAGCAGGATATTCTACTGTGCCGCAGCGATCACAGACAAGTGTGCCCAAGTGCCGTCCTTGGTTAACTCGCTGTATTCTGGGCATGATGTGGACAGTCAGCGGCAGTACGTTGTACAGTACATCATGCAAAGTGGCGCTGGCTTCTACGTTCTGGGAGTCCGAATGGACTCAGCAGTGACATTGAAGCTAGCATACGTCGGTGGCATAATCAGCCTGGGCCTCATGCACAGGGTCCTTGAAGCTTCTCCTTGATCTTCCAGCCGCAGAGTCTGGCATCCGCCATCGGACTGTGACTTGAAGAGCCTCCCCCTCATCATCCTCTCTCTCTCTCTCTCTCTCTCCTTCCCTACCCTCTGCGCACACGGCCTCGCGATAGCCTTGCCTCCTGGTCGCCGCTCCCTCGTCTCCACCTCGCCCGTGGAGCTGCGCTTTTCCCCGCGCACCCGCGCCTCGAAATGAAGAGGCTGCCCAAGAGGCTCTATGGCCTCCCCCGCGCAGAACGGCGCGCGCACATCGGGCATGCGGGCCCCGAGGAGTTGTTGAATCGTTTCGCTCATTCCGCCGGCCCATATTGCGCGCCGTTGTCGACTGACCGAGTGGTCTTTCGCGGTGCGGAGCTGTAGGGGCGGCGGCTGTTTTTATCAGGCATTGCGTTCGGCATGTGAGGCTTCTGGGTGGCCGCTGGGGGAGTCTCGAACGCGTCGCGGGCCGTCTGGAAGCGTTTTGCCTACGGGGACTCTTTCGTGAGGCCTTTTGGTGGCCTCTTGGGGACTCTCAAACGCGTCGGGTCGTTGGCACTTGGTTGCGTGCTCGGGGGGGCATTTGGGAGGCCTCCTGGGGCCGCTTGGGGGCCTCTTGGTGGGCCTCCTGAGGGCCTGTTGGAGGCCTTTGGGGGCCTCTTAGGGGCCTCTTGGGGACTCCTGGGGGCTTCTTAGGGCCGAGGGCTCGAAATGTTGTGCCGTGTTCCCCCCCTGGGACATCTCTTGGGGCGTTCTTGGGGCCTTCTTGGGCCGTCTTGGAGGCCTCTTGGGCCCTCTTGAGCCGTCTTGGGCCCTATTGGGGGCCTCTTGGGCCCTCTTGGGGCGGTCTTGGGGGTCTCTTGGGCCGTCTTCGGCTGTCGGGAAGCCGAAAAGGCGGAAACGCCAAAATCTATCCAACACCTGAGGAAAACAATGATTTTTGCCTCTTGGGGCCCTCTTGGAGTTCTCTTGGAGGCCTCTTGGGCCGTCTGGGGGACATCTTGGGCGTCTTGGAGCGATCTTGTGGCATCTCGGAGCTCCCTTGCATCATCTTGAGAGGCTCTTGGCGGCCTCTTGGCCTTTCTAGGGGCACTCTGGACGGCCTCGAGGGCGGCGCCCAGGAGGAAAACCATCTCTGACCCGAGTCGCCCTGGACCTGCCCGGGGTACTTTTCGTCCGGGGACTTTAAACGGAGAAGGTTAAAGGCGAGGTATAAATCGAGCATGTACCGCTGCCGTGCCTGGCTCAAGCCGGGCCCGGCAAGATATATGACTGTGCCTCACTGAGGCGCACGACTTGCATCAGAGATCGGAAAATACCTTTTCCATTGACGATGCCCATCCTATCCTTGCCCATCCTATCCTTTACTCCAGATCCCATGCTTCGTCTCGCTCTCTTGCTCATGCGATATGAGCCAAAGCCTGGGATATGGCAACGCTTAAAGCGTAACACATACCTAAGCTTACCAGCTTGTTTTCGACTTGGTAGCGGAGCTGGCTACACTCTCGTGTGGCTGGCTCTCGCTCTGATTCCTGTAATCCACGGCACAACTTGGTGGACTACTACTACGGTGGAATACCATGTTGCGCCGGCTCTGCGAGGAGCGGAGCCAGTCCGCGATCGAGCTAGCGGGGCAACCCGCGAACTCGAGACGCTCTCTCCTACTTCACTGCGCTACTTCACTCCCGACTTCCACCAGATGCCAATCGGCAACTCGATCGAGAACGTGGTCACCCTGCGGGGCTACCCGCAGCGGGGCCACCTGCATCCCGTGCCAGTCAGGCGCCTCACGGCTACTACGCCAGAGCCTGACAAACCACAGCCTAAACCAATCACCGAAGCCGAAATGCACATGCATTGGATCAAGATAACTATATTCGGCATTCTGTGGGTAATAATGGGATGTGCTGTGGGATACATGCGGCAGGGGATGGACGACACGCGTACTACTGGCCCTTCATGGGACCCTGCCGGTACTACGCCTTTTCGCGAATACGTTCGCGAAGTACATGCATGGTTAAACGTAACGAGTGGCAATATGACACCACCACAACAAGCTGCAGCACTACAACGAGGCCTTCAAGGTCTGGCTCGTCGTATCGCCATGCAGGTCCCCTCCCAGATCATCAATTATGGTGTAACTGTCAATGGACAGCCAACGGATGCAGTAACATATATACTGTACTTACTGAGCACCAAATTTGAAAATCTGGAAGATGAGCGCCAGCTCAACTCTGGCACTGCCCTTATCGACTTCCGCGTCGAAAGGGGCGAGCGAATCGACTCAGTATTAGCTCGATTCGAGATGGCCCGTGACGAGGCTAACTCTGTTGGCTTTGTCATCCCCAACTTTCAGATCCTAACGCTGATTCTCTTCAGAGCGTTAGGCGTTGGCGCGTCACGAGCCCAACACCTGCTTGAGCCCTTCAATCATCAGATGCCCCGAACACAAGCAGACTATGACAGGCTGCTGACCAGGATGAGGAACTACGGACATGTTGCCGAGCGCTCTCCTGGCAACATAGCGGGTATCTTCACAGGGCACCACTCACATGCAGGTGTCTACGCCACGACTGCGGGGTCACCCGCTGGTCCTGGCGAGCCAAATCCCTGGGCTGACCCAGCCGATATGCCCAACGAGGCCACTGCCCTTTTAGGGCAGACTGGCCAGGCATCGGCAGAGGCAGCTGAGGCGAACGCCTGGTCGAACTACTCGCCAGGCGCCGCCTACACTGCAAGCCCGCCCTCGGGCACAACCCTCTGGGGCCAAGCGGAGTCATCCGCTCAAGGGTCTCAGCCACCCTCACCGTTTGAATCTGGCACTGACACGGATACCTCATCTGACGATGAGCACAATGGCATAGTCTCTGCTGGTAATGACTACCCAGCGGATGACACTCACCTCTCTGAACAACAAAGAGCGGAAGCCGCCTTTATGGCTTATCGCAAATCAAAACGCCGTTGGAGGCGCTTTATGAAGAAACCAGTCAGAAAGGTGAGACGTGCAGTACGCCGACATTTCAAACGATTTGGAAAGGGTCGTGGCAAAGGGGGTCGCAGACGCCGTATGCATGGTAGGGGTATTACTGCTTTCCTCACGTCCTTAACTGATATGGCTTTTGAAGAAGTTCTTATCGGAGGCAAAGGTCGGGGTCACAGGCGGACCTCCGGTAAGGGAAAAGGGCGGAGGGGCAACCCTAGGGACGCTTCTGGCAATACTATGAAGTGTCATACATGCGGTAGCACAGAGCATTTGCGCGATCAATGCCCGAAGGGGAAAGGAAAGGGATCCGTACATTTGGCTCAAAATTCTTTTATGGATGACATAGATTACATTGACTACGAGTTTTACGTCAATCCAGAAGCGGCTCCCGCCGCGGGCTCTTCCACGTATTACGTGATGGCCCGCTACGCTGAAGCAACTGTAGCCCTGGAAGACTACGCGGTGACCCTCTTCGACGAGTTCCACGGCTGGGACGAGGTCGACGAGGTCGCGTACAATGCTTGGTTCGGTCTTCCAGCGGGGCCGCCCGCCGGCGACGAGGTCTCCGAAGCCGAGACCGCCCCGGCAACAGAGGAAGAACTCACCGCCGTGCTGGCCCCGCAAGTGATTGGCACGCCGTTGCTGCCAAATCCTTCGTGGGCTGGTTCGGAGGCGGGAGACGCCGATGACGAAATGCGGGGCCATCCCGCGTATTCCGACTCCGAAGAAGCCGAAGAAGATTATAAGGACATGCTCCAAGAGCAGGTCTCAGAAGCAATCCGACTCCTGAGTGCGCCAGCACATCAGCAGATAACCATGAACGAACTGCTGTCACACCCAGGAGCTGCACGTCTACGTCCATACTTGGATTCGGACATGTCAGCATCTCAGATGCTGACAGCACTCCAAGCTCTAGCGGGGTCACCCGCCGAAGAAACGCCAGACGCAACAGCGGGGCCACCCGCTTGGTCTATGGATGTATTCATGCAAGGTTGTGATCAAATGGACATTAACGACCTCACGATGGAGCAGTTAAACGACATCGGGTACTTCAGAAGCCCGTATCAAAACGTGTTCATGGTCCAGGACAGCTCAGAGGACTCGGAGGACATGCGCTACGCCAAGAGGGACAGACGACCGTCGCCTCCCCGAGACTCAGAGCATGACGATCAAAGGCCAATGGCACGCGGTAGTGCGTCAGCGGGGCCAGCCCGCAGAAGGAGCCGTTCAGCTCCCAGACGCCCTACACATGATGAATCGGGCTATCCATACAGTACTGAGCACTCCGTCGGAGTATCCGCTCAGCATGTGCCGGATTGGTACATCAAATGGTACCCCGGCTACTCGATGGACACGCTTCGCCACTGGTATTCTAAGGAGTACTGCACTAAAAGGGACGAAACTGGCGCGATAATACGTACCAAGGGTGGCAAGACCAAGACGCCAGAGGCTTGGGACAAAAGGGCTAAGAAACAGGAGATCATCAACGATCGCAAGACATACAGGAAACAAGTATGTCAGTGCGAGCCCTTCAAAGGTCACATGCGCAGGTGTCCGATGGACCGCCCCTCCAGGAGCCCTCATCACGGTGAGACCCCGTGGAATTGGTCTCATGGAGATGACGCTGGCAACGTCCATGATCCTAATAAGGAGGTCCCTGGAGGAGGAAAGCGCATCACCGAAGCCGATCGTGTCCCTATGACCGAAGAGGTGGCCAACATCGTCAGGGAAAATTGGGTACAGCTTCCCAATGACCATCGCCTCAAGGAATGGAACCGCCGATTCCATAAAGAGGCGGGGTCACCCGCAGGATCCAGTAAAGAGGCGGGGTCACCCGCAGGATCCAGCAAAGAAGCGGGGTCACCCGCAGACGCGGCGCCAGCCGCTGGGTCCGCGGACGACGATTGGATAGCTGTTGCATCTGCTGCTGGGTCCGCCGCCGGCACTGACCACACCGAACTGAATGAAGAATGGGCGGCGGAAGACGGCTCAGAGAATCCATTCCCTGATGGAAGCGCCTGCTGGTACTACAGCTCTTCGGCGCAGAAGTGGTTTTGCACGAGGGTAATCTACCGCCATGAGAATGGCAAGTACAAGCTGGCCATAAAAGGTACTGCCGACATCGACCAGATGAGGCAGGTCATCCATGGTCATGGCCAGCCAGAAGGCCCTCCTAGAGACCCTCCTGGTCCACAACCGGGCAGGGGCAGCAGACCACCTCCAAGACCTGAAGCCGACTCCTCGTCTTCACCGACTCCGGCAAAAAGGCACCCGTCCAAGAGCCCCGAAGGCACACAGGGGCGGGCGAAGGCCAGAGGGATCGCCAAGACGGACGACCCTGAGCCGGTGGATCCTCCCGGTCTGTCCGTGACGGAGAGGAGGAAGGCTTTTGCTGGACCATCGACCCCGATGCCACCGGCGACCCAAGGCGATGTCAAGGACGAAGTTCGCGACAAGCCTAAGGCAGCTTTCCGAGGTGACTGGACTCCAACTCTGCATCAGCCGCGCCTTG